AACTTTTTCGTTTGTTTTTTACATTTATCATCACTATAGAAATTCATTTTCATAAAAGTAAATGTATATTCTGATAGCGGTTGAAATTCTCTATCATCCTATATATTTTTGTCTCGTTTTATATTTATTTGCTGCAACAAATAAATACAAAACAGGACAAAGTATATTGGATGATAGAGAATTTCAACCGCTATCAGAATATACATTTACTTTTATGAAAATGAATTTCTATAGTGATGATAAATGTAAAAAACAAACGAAAAAGTTAGTCACAAAATGCAGTCTATGGGAATTTGACCATGAGGGTGCTTTGATTCCACTTGATTAGTTTTTTAAGAGATAAAAGCAAGGTACAATCAAAATGCACAGTTTGATAAAGAATTTCAAGCGCTATCGAATGGTATAATTACTTTTCTCAAAATGTCTTTTTCGAGTGTCGAAAGAGCTGAAATATCAATTCCAACTTTTGCTTTTGATGGGTATATGTTTCAAGAGCAATAGTCGTTAGTAACTTGCTTAGAATCATTCTCTATTTGGTGATGCCGATGTTTGAACACAGTGCTTTGTAAATACGTGCCAAACAAAGTTGTCACTCAATCATGAGGCTCTTTTAGGAATTCGAAATATATAACGATCTAACTTATAATAATCCACCAAGAGTAGAAATGCGTGTGATGAATGATTTCTCCTCTCCGTCTACAGCAAAATTTTCCCAAAATTTATCCATATGATATCTAAAATAATTTTTGAGCATTGATTTTTTTTTCGATTTGTTTAGTCCATGATCAATTCATCTTGTTCTGTTCAGTTCTATTGAGCTGTGCTCTCATTTATATGATTTCTAAGATAATTCGCATCGAATTAAACAATATTTTCCTATGGTCGCAGCACTTTTTTTTGCTGGTGGCTCTGGCTCTTCAAATCTCTAATCATGATATCTGTGTCTTTTCGTATGACAGGATATTATTGCAATAATAAATTAATTTATGATGTAAGAAAGACTTCATTTGAGCAATGCCAAAGTTAAAGACATTATCTAGTATAGGATTACGCTCCAGGTCAAATTAGTTCTTGCTCGCGTACATTTCTAGTGGCATCAGAAACACTAATCTTTCTTAGCTACAAACTCGCCTGAATTAACGTTTCTAGCGCTAAGCTTTTTAGGACAGCTAGAGTAACTTGACGGATATTTCATGCGTAACAATTAGATCCTGGGTAGTCTGAATCAAGTATGTCGTTGTCTTGAGAATGAGAGGCATTTTTATCGATGTTTTCTATTCTACGACTAGGGTACATTATGCAATTTTCGGATTATATTGACAATGATCTGGTAGGAATTAAATTACAGCTGGCTTTAAATTTTAGAGTACGACCCGTTAGGTCGATCGTCGGCCTATTCAATAGAGAATTTCTAGACTCAAGGTGTGCTCGGGACCAACTCGGTCGGTTCTAATAGCAATCCACAAATCTTGTGGTTGGCAAATCGATCATCAAATCATTTGATTAATACTCAAATCTTGCTTGTCTATGGAATACTTACCAAGAGAAATTCTCCAATCCCTACTATTTTAGTTGTGTCCGCCATCCTTATTTCTTTTGGTTTCTTATACATAAATAAAATCACACCTACAAAATAGTTTATATCGATTTTATGAATTATTTCTCAATTAAGAATTCTTACCAATAACAATTAATGAAACGTAGACATATTTCATAAGTGGATATTGCTTTCTTGCAACTAGCACACCCAAAAGCATAACTGGAACAGGTTTAACTGATTTTCCAAGAACCTTTGAAACCGAATATGTGTAAAATATACAAAAGAAATTTTCGATCTTTTTACCTGCAATGGATAACTGACAAATTCTAATGCAAAATTACTTGCAAGCATTGCAAATAAATATGTAAATGATGCAAATGCATACATTTTTGATGGCGTTGTATTCTGATGGGTTACTTGTGCAACCAGAATTGTTTTTGATACAATTGCATTCAAAACACATTGAAAAAAGGCCAGTGATAAAATATACTTAAATTTATGATTTTCACCATATTTTCCTTTTACTCTATTCAACACGAGAAAATACTTGAAGATTGTGTCTGCATAGATATAAAAAAAGACGACTGTAGTCTTACATTGATTCTTGAACAATGCCAAATAAAAGATAAGCAACAAATATCCCAAGAAAGCAAAAGAATAATAGCATTGACGGAGAATTCAATAAAGAGTCTACTTTATTAATTATGATGATGATGATGAAGCGCACTCGAGTGGTTCGTGACTTTGGTCCTTTTTTAAATAAAAGTTGATAAGAACTTTTAATAGAAATCTGAAATAAGACATCTTTTTACATCCATTAATAATGATAAATTATTTGTAGATGCTTTGTTCTATTTAATAAATAGTTAAAGACGGCAAAATATAGTTACTTGTATAAAGGATGGAGGTCAAAACGGCTACTTTTCTCCGCAAAACATTTTTGAAAATAAACCGTATGGGGATATCAAGACAGTTATGGCCTACAACATGAGCATAGTCATTTACTTTCCGCTGACGTCAGGGTTTTTGACACCTTTAACCCCTCAGGTATATGAAAACAGTTTTTGTCTCCAATTTCAGTAAAATTGATGTAGTCATATAGAATTGATCGTGCTGATTACAAGTATCACCTTGGTTTCTTGCGAACCGTTTTGTTAGGCTACAGGACAGGATTTTCAAGATATTTCGCCTACAGTGAAAAAAGGACTTTGAAGGAGTTTTCAACTGCTGCCGACTTCGAAAAGTGTTTTAACAGTTTGGAAACAGACACATGAATCGAAACCAATAAAGCTTGGCCTTGCTCATCTCTTGTTGTAATGACATGGTCATTCTATAGATTTTGTAGCGGAGACGATATAACCCGACAAACGGTCTATTGGCATGTGTTCGCTTTCAAATAGTGGCTATCACAATTAGCCGACAAGTAAGGAGAATTTTTTTGTTAATATTTCAAAAAGTAGATGAGCTAGAATAGCCTGATTTTCGTCATATCATAGCTCATAGTCTCTAGTATATTAGTAGAAAATTTTAGGGTGGGTGTGGATGTCGGTTGTGAGGGGATAAGTTTGGTTCTTCACTTTGTCTACACCCTCGCCCACGTTCACGCCCGTAACCACACTCAGACCGCACACTGGCCCGCACCATTACCTAATTCTTGACTTTTTGTATCATTAGAATAAATTCTTCATTTTGCTAATTTTTAAGCTCAAATGTTAAGGTGCTCAGGTGTTAATAGACTCCAATTTTTGAAGCCTCAATGTCGAGAGCTCAAGTGTTAAGAGGCTCAAATGTGAATACTCAACTGTCGGTGCTTAGTTTTCGTAGGCTCAACTGTCTATGTACCGTTTGCTTGATACATTATTAGTAACGTACATGATGGTAAGCCTTCCATACGACTCTTATTATTTTGTTTCCTATTTAGTTCTACTTTATTCATTAGGTCAAATAGATTTGACTCGAAAACTTGTATAAGAATGTTACTGATAGTCTCCACTCCTTTATGTATCGTTTTATTCTTAAATATTTTTTAAAATCTGTTGAAAAATATTTCAATAAATGAAAATATATGTTGAGCTCTGAAAAATACTCACGAACGATGATCTCCGTCTTCAAAATGCCATTGCCAACAAAAAAGCTGTTAGCGCAATCCCTTGCAGGATTAAAAATGTGAAACACGATGGATCTATTGTTACTAATTAAATGGAAATCCTTTTGTTCCGGTTCTTTGCGATACATTCGTAGCTAACCATTTATCTGATGCTTTAGAACTAGTTTCTCTAGTACGGTCTGTGATGGGTCCAAAGCCTGCCTGTCACGGTCTGTGGCGGGGGGGGGGAGTGTATGTGTGTGTGCAAATTTCTACCACTAAACACTTCAACACTTCTTTCAGATCGTGTTTCACAATAATAAAACCTTTAAAAAATAATTGAATAAATTCATTCTCACTACGAAGAGAGTTACTCCCACACCTGACTCTATTATTTTTTTACTTCTTTTCTTTACTTGGAAAAAAGCAATATACTTGAAGCTGTTTTTTTATTATTTTACCAACATACGACCGAAAAACAGAGTGAACAGAGATGACTGAAGAAAAAATTCATTTTCCTTGCCTTTCTAACGAACGAAGCCAAGTTGACGCACACAATTCATTTTTAAAAAAATTTTAAAAGCTCTTTGAACTACCAAAATGGAACTCCATTAGAGTTTGGTGCAGGTGTAATGATGATACAGATGTGGGCGCCAAATAGAGTTTGGGTGCGGGTGCGGGTCAACAAATGATCAACAGACATAACCTCACCTCACCCACACTCACACCCACACCCTTGTAATTGTGGTTATGGGCCAAGGCGAGACTAAAGCCCACATCCAAACCCACACTCTCTAGCATTCGTGGATGAGTGTGGGTGTGAGATGTGAGTATGGATGTGAACCGGCCTCTTCTCTTCACCGATACTCCGACAACCACATCCTTATCGTTGCGAGTTGCTCACAAGGTTGAATTAAACCAGCAAACATAAATTTAACATATCTTCTCCAGCGTAAAGTTCCTAAGTTAATTCAAGAATACCCTCAATCAATCAAAACTATCTCGACTTCTTACATTAGCAAAAATTTCATCAACAACAATTTCCATCGCTAAGTCTTTAAATTTTTATTCTAGCGTATCAATCTCATCTGGAAGTTCTTTAATAAAATATTGAAAAAACTTGTAGAGCACGTCGATGTTCTTACGCTGTTTTCATATTTGTTTCTTTCAATTGATTAATGTCCGCGCCAGAACGAGAGAATGGTGGGTGTAAACGCAATAACTCGACAACCACAATAGCTAGCCATTTGCGGTTTCCAGCAATAGAAAGAGGAGACCCTGGGATGTTTTTTTTTTGAATAATATTGTATGAGACAAAGTCATTTTGAAAACTGTCATTTTTGGGAATCTTATCTTAGAACCCAGGGAAATGGCATGCCACTAAAATAAATTTTTGATTTCGATATTCCCATTAGATAGAGAAATGTCAAATCTATACTTCTATGCTAAGCTCAAATAGCTAGCTTCTTGTTTTCTTATCGTCATCAAGCTGCATCGAGCATCGGATGCTCTATAATAATG